ACTACATCATACATGTAGCACGGTAAATGTGAAGAACAAAAATCCACTTAGTTAGAGCATTCCTCCATGGTTAGAGGTTATCTGACTTACCAAAATTAGAGACATTAAAAACCTACAGGTATTATTAATGCGTTGATAGAGGGCAGGGTTTTAATTTTTTTAAGGTAATTTTTGGAAAAGCAACGATGAAGACAACAAAATATAATACAAAAAATAAAGATGGCAACATGAAAATAAAGACGGCAGTTACCGTGATGCACAGTGGACACGCTAGCGTTGATTCGCATGACACCAACCGTAAAACATGTAAGAAAATAGCAGTTTTTACCACAAGAAACTGTTCAAAATAACAAACAAATGATGTCATGAGAGTTAAGATTAGTCTGCTTTCGTTTGAAAAAGCCATTTTGGAATGATAAAAGGAAAAAGTGTTGCAACCTGATGCCACTTCAGCGGTTGTGTACAATTACAAACAAAGTCTATGCCATGGAGATTCAAGAAAATTTTCAAATTATTTCCCAACAAAATTGGAAATGTTTTTCAGCCCCAGATTCATGTCTTATATCATCATTTTAACAATGACCTTCATTGAGATGATATATGAAGAAAAAAGTGGCGTCAGGTTCGAACATTTTTTCACGAGAAACCACTGGGACTCCTTTTTTTCGACCTTAAAGGGAATATACAACATTTGCAAACATCGAAAAATAAAACTACCAAGTTTTTGCGAAATACCTTAATAGGATGTTGGTAAATGACAGTCTAAAGCATCCTGTAAAATTATGGCACCTGGTATACTGTCATTTTCAAGAAAAGTGGTATTTTTGTATCAATTTCCAACGCTGATCGGCCGATCAGCGTTGGAAACAACTGGCTTTTTTTCAAATACTGGCCCCAATTGACCATTGCACTTGTTTGCAATCGATTACAAACCCATGAACGGGTACGAGCCAGCTAGACTGGTTCCCTGACCTTACAATTCCCCAATGTATGTTAACTGCTCTGTTTCTTCTTATATGGAGTCAGGGAACCAGACTACAGGAAAACGATCGTTTTTCTTGGTTTTTATAGCATTTTCGAACCCAAAACCTCCAAAAAGTCAGTGTAACTACAGTCGTTTGACCGGTTCCGCAATCGCAAATCGTCTGAAGCGTCTTGTGGCGAAAAAACGCGCTTTCACAGGAAGCTACGTATCTATAAATATGCGCAAATTACTCACCTACTTCATGATATGAATAGTTTTCTGCGATCGTTTGAAAGAGAAATTTGCCAGGACATTTTGTAGAGGTCGGTGCTTTGACCGGTTTCGCAAAAGTTTTCCGGTTTCGCAAACGACGCCCTCTGTGAGCCTGGACTGAAAATATTCCTTGTTTACTGGCCAAATCTAGATCGTTTTTGCTCCCAAACCAGCCAAGAAAAGATGTGGATTATATTTCCCTGTACATGAGCCAAGGTCTGCACATTATAATGCGTCCAAATTTACAAAATGTAACTCCATGAAGTTGTTATGGTTTGTTGGATCTTTTTCTACGTTATCAGGTTATAATTATTTGACTTGCTTCAATCTGTAGCCTAACTTCTTCTCATTGTCTTCTCTCCACAGGTTTCTTCAGGCTTGCGAGCTACAGTGCCTAGGGCGCTTTTGAGGAATCCTTGGTTTCATTACCAGAAATGATTAATAATAATAATAATAATAATCCAATTAAATGGCTTTCTTGCTTTTTGTGCATTCTGTCAATCATCTTGCAATCACTAATATTTTTCTTTTTTGTTGTCTTATTCTTATTTAATTAGACACACTCTGACTTTGGATAGAAATTAGAACCAGACACAAACCTTGTACCAAATTGCTCTAGTTGGTTGTTTTTTTTTCTCACATAAGCACAGACCAGCTATTTATGAATTTGAATTAATATTTTCTCCAGGATCATTTTAATTCCTATGACACTTAAAGGAAGTGACTGCATGGCTGGATGAATTGGAACTGAATCATTGTCTGCAGGGGAGCACTGTTTATTAATATTATTTGTTTATTTAATTATTATTATTTATTTACTTTTTTTTATACCCTCCCCTTTTTTTCATTTTAATTTTTTTGTGGGGGGGGGGGGGGGGAGTGTTTCAATTTCTTCGGGGTAAAAACACAATATGCTTAATTTTGTGTGCACCAACATCCAGTAGGGGGAACCTGGGGGCCGGGAGGGGAGGGGGAACAGGCCTCAGCAGGCCAGATACATACAGGCCACATACATATTGTTTCACATTCAAATTAAATTTCACATACAAATTGAAACAAATTGTTAAAAATGTCATAAATCCTATGGCTGTTTCATAGCAATTGCAATTTCTAATTATAATGTCGTTGGAAAGTTAAAGAGAGGGTTCAGTTACTCCTCATACGTTGTTGCACATATTAACTCTGTACGTGTATCATGCTTGGGCAACTGTATTAGCAAACCTCATCTACCGTTCGGTGATGCTCTTAAAAGAAAATGTCAACACATTCATCACGTACATCCCGATAACCCTTTCAATATATTGACATGTGATACCTGCATAATCGTGTGTAAAATGTAAATGTAATACAAAACTAAAGCACTCAAGAAGCTACCCCTTTAAATCCAAAAATATACCTGTCATATAAATAAATGGTGATGAATCACAGAAATAGACATGTTCTGTGGGTTTTTCATGCAAAGTAGCATAGTTTTCAAACACCTCACTTCTCTTTTACATGTACTGGTTAATAAAAATGTATGTAACGCCTTTAAATTTATTGCCTTTATGACACCTGCATGTCTGTTTAATTGTTATACACAAATAATTTAAGCACTCCAGAAGCTAGCACTATAGTATACAAAAAAAGAACTTGTCACATAAATAAATTAATTCAAAGGAATGGTGATGAAGACACACAGCTACATGTACTTTCACTATAATATTCAACTTCTTCTTGACCTTCACAGGTAAAACTGAAAAAGATGTGCTGATGGCCTCTTCATGGCCTATCAGGAGGCTGGCGTAATCTTCTTCTTTGTCTTTGGCATTGTCTGTATGAAACAGAAATTTTATATAACTCATTTAGTTTATGACCAAGTTGAGACAAAAATTGAGTAATGGTTTATAGTTTTTGACAAATTTTGTGCTCCAAGAAAACAATCAAAATTTGTGTCTCTGTACTGACGAGAGACTGGTCTTCATTATGAAATATTAGTGTACCTATTTTTCTTTTTGTTTAAAAGAGTAAAGAGTAAGGTTAGAACCCACCGAAAAAAATGATAATTTTAAATTTACTAAATTACTGGAAATGTCCTTTGGGTTAGAAACACACCTGCGTTTTATTTTCCATATTATTATGCACTATTTTTAATTGTTCCCCACAAACCTCACCTCCTAGCCTGGGCTGAATCATGCACCCTGGATGTGGAGAGTTGTAACTCTAGAATGAATCCAAACCCCTGAGGCACAACCGCTTCAACACCAAGTATGGGGTGAATTTTTTTAGAGCAAAGGAAAAATGTTTAGTGGGAATTTTGCTCACTAAGAAAGATTTTTGTATTTTAAATTTTGAAGTCCGATTTTTTTTTTATCCAAAACCTACAGTGCTATCCGGAAGCTGGACAGAAACAAAAATCATTTTGTTTCAATTTTGTTTTCAATTTTGCACTAAACACCCAGAAATGATCATCAAATTCGACATTTTTAAACAAGGATTAATAGAAATTCTCAATTTCTTTGTAAGTTGTAAAAAAAAAAAAGATTCATGGCAAAATAAATAAAGTGCGCTGCGCTAGGGGGCCGTCATCAACAATACTTGTCAATAGCAGCACTGGTTAATACAGTCACACCATGGCCAGTGTATTGTATAGGCAGTATGAATGCGTTTGCGGAACCGGCCAAACGACCAGCAGTTACTCTGGTGGGTATAGAAAAAAAAATTCAAAGACTTCAAATCTTATATTTGTATGGTGGAATAATGAATAATTTCCGAACAAGTTGCATCTATTGCCATGATTTAATTCCCCTGAACAATCGTGTAGCAGGCCGACAAACATGAAATCACGCTTCCGTGCGCGTTCCATTTCGGCAGTTCGTTAACGGCAAGTGACGGTCGTAGGGGATTTATTTTTAAATGTAAGTGAGTATCCTAAAACTAAAACCATTTTTGAAAAGTAGATTGAATAACCTTTCCATCGGTACCAAAGTTTAAGTCTTTGGCGTTTTTGTCTTCCTGAAAACGAGAGCTAGTTTTCCGAAATTGCGGAACTGGTCAAATTGCGGAACCGGTCAATTGACTGTATATTTGCTTTATATTTCTAACCCCCCAATTCCATCCATATCTGAAAATTACAGCAAAAGCAAATGATGTATATTCCCTTTAAATTTGCCTTACCCGCGCGTATACTGCCTTTAGCGATACGCAGTGGCTATTGTTACGGCAGCCGTAACGCATTTCCCATTTTCTATCGTTACGGTAGACTGCAACCTGGCAACTTTTATAAAAAAACATGACAAGAAAATATAAAATTAGAAGGAAAAAAGTGAATTTGAACTTTATGAAATTCGGACTTTATTTCCCTTTTAAAAAAAATCCTCCAAAGCCTCAGGTTAGAAAAGGAAAAAAATTCGAGTGCAAAACTGAGATTCGAACCCGCAACCTCGCGGTGCAAAATCCTACCCTCTATCGGCTGAGCTGGCGCACTGCTAGACAAAACATGGGGAAACAAATAATTATATACCTGCGTGCGTTTCAAAAAAATATCGTAGAGGGCGCTAAACAACGAGTGCCGTAACGATAGCCACTTCGTTAGCGATAGCAGCATGCACGTGGAGCTGGTTTATGCTCCATTGTGTACGCATGTTTTATGTGAACCACCACACAGGCATGACAGGCACTGCTTCACTTCGTTGCTTGTCAACAATGTCATAATAACCATCATTTCATCTGACAAACATTATTTCAGTTGATAAACCATTTTAACTTGGCAGCAATAGCTTACCTTATACTTATAGGTAGAAGGGAACAGTTGCTTTTAATACTTGAAGTTGATATTGAAGCGAAAGACATCCAAACTTCGCCGACGTTCTCATGACAGTGCATGATCAAATCAAACACGTGCACAGAAATCTGTCAAGTGTCAAAAAAGTTTACGGACTTGTAGCACAGCGCCCTCTTTTGGCCAGCATTGTTTATGTTATTTGAGGAAAGATTCCACGAGTTTTAGGCGGGATAATCAGATAAAAGGCTTTCGTAGTTTAAGAGATCAACATCAACATGGGAATATGTCTTTCCCCTGAAACTGTATTTCAAAAGACGTTTTCTGTGATATATTTCTGAAAGACGTCCTTAGCAAGGGGTTTTGGGCACCCCCCCCCCGACCCCATCCACCCACTGGATGTCAGAAATAAATAAATATGAGCGGAAATATATAAAAGTTGCTCTTAGGCCCCCCCCCCAAAAAAAGTCTCCGGTTTCTGGTATGGAGCTTGCCCAAAAAGTGGTGCGGCGACGCGGCTTTTTTTTTTTTTTTACCTGATTTTTTTTGCTTCAAATGTCGGCTGATGACTGCAAATGGTGCCCGACTAAACTTAGTGCAAATATATGGGAGTCCAGAGAGGCCACATAAAGCTTATTCTCGACCGTAACCCAATCTAAAAACACGTTAAAATGGTGCAGCAGCAGGATTCCAGTCAAAACAGTGGGTTTGGCGGTTTTGAGACATCATCTTTCATTGAAATTTTTTTTTTTTCATTTTGCCGACGCGCATGGCTACGGCGACGCGCGCGCATACCAGAAACCGGAGACTTTTTTTGTTGGCCTTAGTGTCCCCTTGAAAAAATCTGCGCACCCCCAGGAGCCCCTAGAGTTTTGACCCTAGTTATGGTAGTGATGTGCCATCTCGAAAGATATCTTTCCCTAAAAATTTGCAAGTCGCCTGGTGGACTTACCATAAAGACCTAGGCTTATAACACAACAGTGAATCCTATTTAATCATACGATGTTACATCATCTCTTAGCAGGAAAACATTGTAACAATGACTGTACGTTGTTGGGGGTATGGCCATGGGGGAATAAGTTGTACAACTTTTGGTGGGGAAGCCTGGGGGGGGGGGGGGAGGAGGGGAGCATACGGGCGGATCCAGAACACATTTTTTTTGGGGGGGGGCCAACCCCCAAAAGTGGGTCAAATTACAGCAAGGGGTTTGGCCCCGAATTTTTTGGGATTCTAGATGCTCTGTGGTGCGATCTGTGGCAACTTAACCAAATTAACTTTTGAGGAAAAGATGGTGGTGTCACGTCACTTAAAAAATTTGGTTCTTTTTTTCTTGGGGGGGGGCATGGCCCCCGTTGGCCCCCCCCTCCCGATCTGCCGGGGGGGGGGGGGGGGGACAGTTCGTGTTTCTGCTTTTTTGGTGCATGGCAAATTTACTTATTCTGCAAAGCTCTTCTTTTAAATGCAATTCAGGTTACTTTTCAGTTTCCAATTGCTATTTGCTCCTTGCAGATTGTACTAGAAAATGTGTAGAATTTTCAAACAAAAAATTATATTTCACCAAGAAAAAAAAGTCCAAAATAACATTGTAAAAATGGTAGGCTGAGCAAGGGGAGATTCTAACATAAGTGTATGAAATTATAACAATCCAAATGAGAAAAATTCAATGTTTCATTATTTTTATTAAAATCAATCCAACCTCGAATAATGACACACAACAGACAGTGTGTTTATTTTGTAGGTTGAAATTGCAGGGAAATTGTTTTACATTATGAAGATTTTCAGGCTGATTTCAGCAGCGTATTCAGCTTTTGATGTCGGGGGGGGGGGGGCCATGGCAAATAGACATGTTTTTTTTACTCTGGACACTTGCCCTCCGTAAAATCAAAAAGGGGGGGGGGGGCTGGTACTCATCTTCCAAATGTGAGTGCTTTAAAACTGATCATTATTATGCATATACAATTAGTTATCTTGCGAGCGCGAGTGGAACACAGAATAATGTAGTGCCTCTGTGTCCCACAGGCCAAGTGGTATGTGGGACACAGGCGCACTACATTTTCCGTGATCCACGAGTACGAGCGTGGTAACGGATTTATCTTCACGCAAACTTGACGCACAGTAAAGTACATGCATGCTGTGTAACCTACGCGCAACTTTTGAATTCACAGTGAATTGTGCAGCACTAATCGCGTCACGTAGGCTTAGAATAGCGCAATACGCGGAGTGCGGTATGGACCGTGGCCGTGCGGTATGGTTATATGTAGCACGGCTTGTTGCCATGAATCGACCAATCAGGATCGAGGATTCAAGTTTGCTTGAAGATAATATATATTATAGCGCCATTTCAGCTAGATACGCCACTGGCTGATCTACAAGGCCCTTTGAGAAGAATAATTACAGAAATTTAAAAACAATCAACAGAAGTCAACTAGAAAGCTGTAGCCAAAGACTTTTGTTTTCGGAATGCCAAAACTGATACTGAAAAAAGTAAAAATTATGGGTCATGAACCTCTGATTCTCAAAGAAAAAGGTGAACATTTTAGTGGAAACTACTTGTGTTTCTGGACAAAAATGTGACTACATCACCAAAGATGTCTCAAAGACATTTTTCACATGTTCAGTAGTCAAATACTTTCGAAAGGGCAATAAAGTTTTTATATGCTACATAACAAAGTTTCACATTCTGCGATATATGGACATTTTACTGGTAAAAGAAGTTGACAGTTCCTGCTGATTTTATTCCAGAATACTTGTTTAACGGAAATGTAAAATGTACCCAGAAAGGTTCCGGTCACAACAAAAGCTCTTCATTACAACAGGTCAAATTGTCCTAATGGCATGGTCTGCATTGTCCAGAGTACAAGATTACATCGTCAACGGTCAGTCATGATGAACTCTAACGCCAGAAGCACATGAGAAGCATTTGAAGATATGTAGATATGCTGACGTTGCAGAGGTACAGGCATTTTTGTCGTACATTTACCTTGAGCTCTGTCAAGAAAACAGGGAAAGAACTTAATAAGGACACTGTTGTAAACATCGATAATCTGTAGGGGTTGGGGGACCCCCCTAAGGGGAGAGTGAGAGGTGGGAGGGGCATAAACTATGAACAGGAGAGAGATGAAGAAAAGGAAAGAGCACATGATGATTATTCAGTTAACGTGAAAAAGTAAAGTCTGTCCCGAGCCAATATGGCCCATCAGGCCGGCATTTATCTCCAGTTCCCTTGGCATGAAACGACTGAGAATATTTCTATTCCCCCTGGATGGGATGCCAGTCCATCGCAGGTTACTCCCAAGCTAATGCCGGTGTCATATGAAAATTGGACTCGTATGAAAATCGGACTCTTTTTCCCTTTTATTGGTTAAACCCTCTCACGTGACCGGTCCCTCTCCTAATTATCTATGCATGAGATTGCGCAATACCACCAATGAGTTCGTATTTCATAAAACCTAAATTCATGCTACACCGGTATCCATTTACACTTCTGGGTGGAGAGAGGCAAGTGGGGATGATGTGGCTTTCCCAAGGACACAACGTATGGCCAGCAGTTGGATTCGAACCCCTGACCCTCTGATCATGAGTCACGAACCCTAACCGATAGACCATACTTCCCCTTACATGAAAGCAAGTACATGTATTATTGGTTTTCACTTGCTATGTTGCAAAAGTTTCATAAGTGATTCTTAATTTTTCCCCACACAGCAGCATGTAGGAGAAATGCCAACAAAGTGAAGAACTGAAAGCATCAACCTTTAATTTTCTTGTTTGGCCATGTGCTAGCTGCCACAGCCTATACATCCCATACACAAATTTATACAATAGCACAAGCATCTGAGCGTTTAAGAAAAGCACAAGCATAAGAGCATTTAGGACTCGCATTTGCTATTGATAGGAATAAACCAAGTACATGAATGTTCAAAGATGACATTTCTAATGAATAATAATTTGCAGTTTTGCACACTCACTGAACAGTCTGGGCAGACCATTTCCTTGTCTTCGAGCAGGGCTGGGGTCACGACCTCTGGGGGAAGGCAGTTGACGTGGTACCAGGATTGACACCGGCCATCACACCCAATCCAATCCTCTCCACCATCATCTCCGAACCTTTCATCACAGACCGGGCAAAAGACGTCATCCTTGCCATGCTTGCTGGTCCTTTTGCCTCTAGGGGATTGCCTCTTGCTGGACCCTGTGGACCTCTTTGCTTTCCTTGTCCTTGGAGATGACTGAGAGTTACTGTGAAAGGCTTCCAAATAGAGTCTCTTCCACACAGAAAAGAGAGGCGTCTCCTCAAGGTCTAACCCACTCTTGATGCATGTTCTGTATGTCTCTCTGGTGGTTTTATCAAGCTTCCTGTCGAGCTTATGGAAGACAACTTCTGCAACATTGGGATCAGCATCAGCTGTGGGATAATCATTTGCATTGGTGTCAGAAGTGGGATGCACATTTTGAGAGGCATGCAGAGGTAGAGATTCCTCAAACTGTGGGGCATCCTTGTTTAAGAAATCCAGGTCTCCTTCAGGTAGGTGGTCGTCGTCGATCATCTCTCGGTCCAGGGGGTGAATTCCTGACTGGATGAAGCATGTGCGGATAGCTTCTGAGTTTTCGGCTTCATGCCATGCAGAGTTGATGACCTGGGCCACGTTATGAAAGTTGACAGGAACACTCCGGTTTTCCGTCACCCATTTCATGATCCAGGCAGACCTAAAGGGTCCCTCTCCTGCCTCTCCTCCAACATCTATGGGCTGCAGAAGAGAAGCAGCCTTCAGTGGGATCCTAAACAGATAGACATGATTTTGGCGAGCGGTAACATAAGTCTTATAGGATATCTCACTCTGGTGGCTACTCAGCAAAAGAACAACAGGGCGCTTCCTCCCAATATTCTTCAAGAAGTGATGCTCCATCCAGTGGCTGAATGCTTCTTGCTTCTCCCCGTCCTTCTCAAGGAAGAATGTTCCGGATCCTTTAGGAGCACCATCAAGAGGATCCCAATGCTGTGGCATCTTCTGGCCCCTGTATATGATGAACGGAGGAAGAATTCGCCCATCAGCACTGGCACACATACCAACAATCACACCCCTCTTAAGGCAGGTGGGCTTTGATTTTCCTCGGGCTGCTTGTGAGAACACAACAATGCGATCAGTGTTCTTGTTCATTTCAAATCCCGTTTCGGCATAGTTGTAAATTTGGCCAGGTTTCTCTGCAATGCCCAATTTCAAGAGAAAGGACGTTAGTTCTTGAAACCATTCACTTATGACTGCCTTAGTAGGATTTGAATCACATAACAAAGTTAGGTTTGAAGGTTTCAAGTGTTTGAGCTTGTCATTGCGCTGAAGGAAGCTGTAATACCAGCGATAGGACGGTCTGCCGTTGATGAAAGGGCTGTTGTCCCTCTTGAAGAAGCTCTGTACGGCATCCCTCACCAGAGCAGCAGATACTTGGAAACCTCTTTGGGACATGGTAAGGATCCAAGTAGCCAAGTCCTCCTCCTCTGCTCCAGTCAAGACTGGGGCTGGTCCATGCCTGGAATCACAAGGAATATCCCCTCTGTAGCGTCGGTACAGCTTCCCGGCATGGACCCTCCAGTAAGCAGCTGCTGCAGATACAGTCTTGTACTTGCCAGATGTTAAATCCTCAAGACCACGCTTGAGCCTTTCTAGTTCAGGGATGTCGGCTACTTCAGGTGCGGATGTAGGATTGTCCAGGCCTTTTCTTAGGTACTGGTTTGCCATCTTGATTTTCTCCTTCTTAAGCTGAGCTTGCCGAGATTGTCTTGTCCTTCTACCAACGTGTTTCTTGGCCTTTGGGGACGCAGTCCTTGTCTTTTCTCTCCTTGTTCTCTTTGTGATCCGGCCAGCTTTGATGTGCTTTTTCTTAGTCTTAGATTCCTTGTCCTTTTTTAGCCGATCTGATCTCAAGTTCTTGGTTGGCTGCTCTGGCTCGTGGTCTGTCTCTGCTGAACTGGAATGTGGACTTGAGTCAGATGTTGTTTCAATGTCTGGAAAAAATAATTCAATGTCATTCATAAAAATTATTCATAAATGTCACTTTGTGCAAAGTTTGAGCTCTCATACTGCACAGTGCTTCACAATTGGTTTTACTTTTTCACTGTTCAATGAGTTTTTGTTAAGTGAAGAAATATAATACTATATAATATTTAAATATTACTCCGACTCTTGCTGCAGAAAATAAAATGATGCCAGTTGTATTTTTAGCCCTGTATCTTCATAACTTTGTGGTTTGAATTTCTGTAGTTACCAAGTACGTGTATTCCATTTCTCATAATTTTTCTTAATTTATAATGAAATGTTTGTCAGATATAATAGACATGATAGATAGAATCACAGTCTCATTTTTATTTCTATTTTAATAATAAAAAACTAACATAAGATATTAAATGCTCATGATTTTGTTTGTTGAGTTTAATTTGCTTTAATCTCAAGAAAATTAAGTTTTATATAATGTACATGTACGTGTCGTGTGCCTTAGTTATCAGTACATTTTACCCCAAAAATATGACTGCAGTAAAAAGTGCAGTGGTCCTTACCCACAGTGTTGATGATATATCTTTCTGGTTCCCTGTCATGTTGCCCGTGCTTGGATGTAATGTCAACTCTGTCGCCATCTTCCTCAACATATTCGCTTGCTGAACTGACACCTTCCAGTTCCATGTTTTCATCTTCTTGTTCATTGCCATGCTCTTCCACCATGTCCACATGCTCAACTTGAACTTGTTCATGATGTTCAACGAATTCGAATTCAAGCACTTCGGAAATGACTTCTTCTTGCCCCTCGACTTGGAAAACAACCTCAGGCTCAGTAGATTCTGTCTCTTCAGACATGACTGCGGTGAGCGATTGTATAAATAACCTGACTGTGTGATGTTTGAAGTTAAAAACTCCGACGTAAACATGTAGACAGCCGATTTGGATTGCGTTTGTATTGCCTAGTATACGCGTAGCGTAGCTCCGTAGCTCCACACACCGGCGATTGATACCTTGTCTCAGCCGTTGTTTATTATTGTTGTGCAAGGCCTGAATACTGTATGTGTTGGTCAGGGAACCAGACCAAATACATCGTCTCCGTTTCTCACGAAGTGCGCCACCATTAGACGGAAAGTGTGTAATTTCCACAAGTTATAAAGAAGAGTGCCCTCTTAAGATGTTTATATATTAATGTCAGGCAAAACACAAACAATAAAGAGATTGTCTTCTTTGATTCGTAATTTCTAAAGCAATGTGATAAGAATACACATTAAGAAATCTTCTTTGCGGTAGCCTTTGTTCATCAGTTTAAAGTCACCTTTTTTTAACTGCACCGAGAGGTTTCGTTTATGCATTTACAGGCATGTTTTTCTGGCGTTATATGGGGAACAGGCTATGAATTTAGTTTGTGAGATCTATTCCAACACCACCCCCAATTAAACTTAATGCCTGTTAATCAAAGAGTTTTCAGAGAAGGCCAAAGATCATGCTAAAAGGAATGAATATACACTGTATTGATACTGAAATGGAAAGTACATGTATTGTTAATTTTTTTACTCCCTCATTCTTTCTCTTTTTATAGATATTTTTTAAAGCATTCATCAGCAGGGATAAAAAAAAAACCCAGGGAATCATACAAAAATCTAATGGAATTGACATCAGCAGTTCATTAAACCAACCAAATATTGTTTTTTTTACTAATAAAAAAAATGGTGTTTTATTTTCATAAACCCTCTTTACATTCCAAGTATTCACACAGGTAGTAGTTATTGGAAAGATTTCCATATAAGAAGTTCACTAATTTTCCTCTGTATTGACTAACAAGCCCCCAGATAGCAATTTCATGTCATCAAAGTCAATTTCAAGCAGAGAAAAAATACAAGCATTTTCTTAGAAAACACTTAGAATTTTTCAGTCCACTCTCATAGGGTTTGTACACAGGGTGTTGAGTGAACTTCTTATATGGAAATCTTTCCGTAGTTATTTCTTGAGGCAATGTACATACATGTATATGTTGAAAAAGTCAACTGAAGTCAAACGTCATCAATTGTGAGGCCATATCACAGGCCATATCTGAACACATTTTCATCTAATAATTTGAACAGTAAAAAACAGTTGTCTTCAGCTGATTCGAAACTCGTCCAATCATCTCATCTAATCATCTCATCGTTTTTTTAATTTGAAATTATATAATATAGTGTTGACTTTTTTTTTTTACTTCAACATTCACAACAGAAAGGTTTGTAAGTTCCAAGAAAACGCCCCATTTAGAAAAAATTATTCAAGCATGAATCAAGGGATGAGATCGTCAATTTAATTTTAAAAAGTCTGAAAATTGAAAGGTCTGAAGATGCATTTCTTTCTATACGAATGTCTTTCTCTCAGATTCAAAAGTCTGGTTTCAGACAAAAGTCTGAAAAATTTCATGCCTGATCAAGTTAATTTCTTACCCGCTCAAGCCCAGTGATACATCAAAGTTAATGAAATTGCTTTTAAAAACACATCTAGATTTTTACAATCAAATACAGAATACACTGAGCTTTTTAGGGGATTCTTGTATTATTTGCTCTCAATTTTATGAATGACTTAAAAGGGGCCATGAGATGAGTTTTTCTTAGACACACATTTTGTGCAACTTTTTACTTGTCTTAAATGTATGAAAAGTACTCGACATCCCTTTTTGGTTAATTTCATTAAAAAATGCATGTCTTTGAACATTTGAAATTTGCCATGTGGCAGTGGCAGTGATGTCATTTCAGGAAGACATTATTCAGTTAAGGGGTTTTCTGTTCAAATTGTGAACTTAAAATTTGCTCATTGAAAACATTTGTGAGAAAGAGTTGCTCATTGGCTTACTGCCACATACTGACAAAACAATCAATCACCATAGAAAAAAAAATTTTACGACGGCAAAATAACCAAAATTCTAGCAACTGTTTGTGCTGAAATAGCTGGAACATTGAGGTTTCTACCCGGAATGACATTCACAGTTTTGCTCATGAATATGGAAATTCATATTAGTTGTCTGAAGGGTTTTAAAGCTTTACGGTGTAAACTGCAACTTTTTCGAGCGTCATCTGCTGCGCGTGAAAATGCACATAAATGTGATACCTGATTTGGTTTCCCATGCACATGCACCCTGGTTTTCATTTTGAAAATTCTGCACAAATGGCATTCAAAACCTTTCTTTTTCATTGTTGAAAAAGTTACTCAGTAATTGTAAAGTTGGGTACGGGTACCCGATCCCATAATCTGGAACCAGTTCCTGACAAAGGCAGTCGGGTACTCGGGTACCAGTTCCGATTCACACCATCATTTTTTAAAGTACTGCAAATTTTAACAGTACGTGGAAATATTTTAACATTTTGGAACTAATGAAATTCTTGTAGGCCATCAGCCTGGGGGTTTGGTCAGTATCAAATCAGGGCATAAATGATTATAGTGCGCATGCGCAAGGTATACCGCCCCTAGAGTGGTAACAAGCATTTTGATGGACAATTTGAAAAAAAAGGGTGATAACACCCAAAAAGCTGCCACCGCTGCAATGCTATCACATATTTTCCAACCCTGGGGGTGTATACCTTGCCAAAAATTGCTATGACGATTATTCCCCTCATTTGATACCGGTGGCCAAAATTTTGGACCGAGGCTGATGGCCTATTGTCTAATATCATTCACTTTAAGAAAACTCTCTTCCCCAACTCCTCCAAACATGGGGTACATAAATCAAGACGAAGCTCTGAGTCTGCTTGGATGTGTAATAAAGGCGTAGAAATGTCACATTTTGATGTAAATAGAAGCACCTGTAGCCTTGACAACCATGAGAGACAGGCCTGCTGTGTGTAGCTGGAAATGGTCCACAGATGAAAGGAATGTAGGTGGCACTCACTGCTGAACCAATTCCTCTTGAGCCTTTCTTGATTTCTGTAGAAGAGTTTTTAAAAAAGTAACCAAATTTTAGGAGTACAATTTTCCCCAAATTTAAAAATGTAAATTGCTTTTGGAATGTGTTGGCCACAAAAGTCTCCACTTCTTTTGGAGATGGTCTCACTAAATGTATAACTTCAAAGTAAGAAACTCATGGATTTTCTTCTTGGACGTGTGAAAGTAGTTTTACTTGAACTTAAAAACGAAGAGAATAATGGTTCTCTGTTGAATGTGCACAGCGAAGTTTTGTTCAAACAACTGGATCAATGTGAGTAACCAAAACCTTCAATGACACTAAATTTGTGTACAACAAATCTTACGAGAAAATCCAATAAATCGTCCAATCACAACATGGATTGTTCAACTAAGCGTCTGACACGGCTGAATTTTAAAATGAAATGGCAAGGGGTTGGAGCACGCAGAGTGGCATTGGGATGACATGTTTGTTTCCCATTTCCGAAGTGGGCGGGGTTAACGACCCAATCTGGAACAGTCCACAAACTGCTCTATGGAAAATACTTAAAGGGAATGTACATCATTGGCTTTTGCTGTAATTTTCAGAAATGAACTATTTTGAGAGGTTAGTATAATAGATCAAATATTGTTACACTGACATTTTTTTAAGTTTTGTGTTCGAAAATGCTGGAAAAACCAAGAAAAACAAAACGTTTCAATAAGTCTGGTTCCCTGACTCCACAAAAGATAAAATGGATCAATTTATAGATGATGGAAAATTGTAAGGCAAGGGAACCAGTCTAGCTGGCCTGCACCCGTTCATGAACATGTAACCAATAGCAAACAAAATTTGAACTGAACAAATAGTAAACTTGGAGCAGTAGTTGAAAAATAGTTAGGTTTTTCCAACGCTGGTCGGCCGACCACCGTTGGAAATATTTACAAAAATACCATTTTCTTGAAAATGACTTCACACCAGGTGCCATAATTTTACAAGATGCTTGAGACTGTCATTTACCAACATCCTAGTAAGGTATTTCGTAAAAATTTGGTAGTTTTATTTTTCGATGTTTGCAAATGTTGTATATTCCCTTTAAGGACTTACACTACATTGAGGGCAGAACATCTCCTTATCTTCAAGCATGGCTGGTGTGACAAGCTCAGGGGGTAGACAGTGAACGTGATACCACATCTGGCAATCTCCATCACAGCCAATCCATTCCTCCTCATCGTCTCCATACTGCTCCTTGCAGACAGGGCAGACGGTGTGCTGACTGTCTTCTTGACCCAGACCTCTGACGAAGACAAAATCCTTAGATTCCTGCTTCTCGGTCGTGATCACGACGACTTCCTCCACTGATGTAAGAGGAACGTTAGGGTCATTCCTGAAGGCTTCTGTGTACAGCTTCTTCCAGATGGCAAAGAGAGGATCCTCTTGGAGATCCAGGCCGCTCTCGACACAAGTACGGTACGTCTCTTGCGTGGATTTTTCCAAGGTGTCATCCAGCTTTTGGAACAGCAGCAACGCAGCGATGGGTTGTTTGCTTTCGGGGATGCGTTCCTCGAAGAGTTCTTGGGTTAGCGAGTCAGTATGGTCAGCATCCTCATCCGTACCATCATCTCCATCGCTACCATCTACAGCTACCTCATCATCTGGCTGATTGACCGCATCAAGGATGCGGTAATCTCCTCTGGGAAGATGCTCATCATCGACCATCTCACGATCGAGCGGATACACACCTGACTGTATGAAGCATGTCCGGATGGCCTCAGGATTCTCTGCATAGAGCCATGCCTCGCTGATCACACCGCCCACATTCTTGAAGTTCACAGGGACATGCCTGTTGCTCTTCACCCACTTCATCAGCCAGCTAGACTTGAAAGCCCCCTCATCACCGATATTGAGCGGCAGGAGGAGCGCTGAGGCTTGAGGTGGGACACGGAACAAGTGTATGCCGTGCCTTGAGGCTGCAGTATAGGCACCATAACTGATCTCGCTCTCATTCAATTCAACTAACAAAACCACTGGCCGCTCTTCCCCCAAGTTAGGGACCAAATGGTTCTTGATCCAGTACCCGAAGCTGTCCTCAGCCCCCGAGTATCCCTCAAGTAGAAGCATCCCAGATCCTCTTGGAGCATCCTCAAGGAAACTGCTGTCTTTAGGTGCATGCTTTAGACCCTTACAAATGATGAATGGAGGTAGCAGGTTGCCCGCTGCATTGGCGCAGACACAAATATCGACCTCCCGCCTCTGGTCATAATCATCCAAGTCAATGGGAGATGTTGCCGCTCTCTCTCTCGGCCGGAAAAATGTCAAGACCATTCTCTGGGTCCTCTTGTTCATCTCAAACCCTGTCTGGCCAAAGCACCAGATCTGTGCAGGCTTGTCCGCAACTCCCAAGTCTGTAAGATACTGGTTGAGTTCTCTAAACCACTCATCTATCATAATTTTGGTATCTTCTGCCCTGCAAATGGCCGTCATTCGAGACATCTTGAGACCTTCTTGCAGCTTGGGATGTCGCCGTACAAACTTGTGATACCATGTATGGGATGGCCTATCGTTGATGAAAGGATTGCCCTCTTTCTTGAAAAACACCTTTACTGCATCACAGACCATGCTAGGTGCCACAGGGAAACCTTTCTTTCCCATCGTCACGACCCAGTCAACTAGAGCTTCTTCATCCTGCTCAGTCAAGGCACTCTTGGGCCCCCGTCTCGCAACCAGCGGCACTTCCCCACTGTGGCGACGGTAAAGCTTAGCAGCATGCACCTGCCAGTAGGCAGCAGCCTTGGAGACAAATCGGAACCTCCCAGAAGTTAAGTCATTCATTGCACCCTTTATCCTGTCATTTTCTGACATCTTGGCAATGGCTGGGGACGAGGTTGGATGGTCAAGACCAACCCGTTTGTAGTCCACGCTGCGGACCGCTTTACACTTCTTCTTCTTCTTTTTCTTCTGCTTAGCATCATCAAGAAAACTGTCTTTAGTTATCTTGATCTTTATATGTTGACTGGCCTCTCGTTTCATCCTCTTTATTTGCTCTGGAGCAAGCCTGGTAGATATCTTCTTTGTTGTGGTTTGTCGCTTCTTCACAACTCTCCCCCGTTGAGGTTGAGGCTTCTGATGTGTCCTAGTTCTTGATGCACTGCTGTGTGTACCATTTTGTGGTTTACACGCCTTCCTTGCCATCGTTGTCTGAAAAAAAACCCACAAAACGACAACTGTTGTGAATTAGAAAGAAAGGTGTTGCCTGGTGGCAGCGGGATCGACCGATGGTGCACATCGACTGAATGCGCCCAACATAAAACAAGAAGAAGTCAAGTACATCATTCACAGGCTAGGCCTATCCTCGAAACTCCATAAATCTGCATCTGCGCAAGGTAACGCTTGCTTTGCAACGGGCGTGTTGCCAATTGGCAATACAAATTAAAGGCGAGTGCGTAGAAATAGGATCGCGTAATTATGGGGTTTGACGATACACTACTTTATGTCATGTGATAATTTATGCAAGTCTTCACGTTCGTGTTCATCTAGCTGGAGTTACCCAGCCCTGAGTTTTATCATTGGGTTGTCATCTAGGGCTGGAGCGAGTTTTTCTCGTAACTTGTAGTATAGGCAAAAATGTTTGGAAAATGTTCAATTTTGTCCCCGTTACACACTAATTGCAACTGCAACTCACCCCAATCTTGCCTGGAATAACCATTACACAGGTCCTTGAAGTAAAAAACGATCCACGATGAAGATTCAGCCTACAATTGCAGTGAAAACAGGAGGAATAACCGCTAACCTGACAACCTTGCTGGCATGGCCAGGACCGCAATTGGTTTGTGCACAAAAAAAATTGTGTACAATGAATGGCGGTCGATTAACAGGCACAGAGAGCGATCGCTGTCAACTACTCGTTTTTGCCGGCTGCGCTGGCTGTTGGCGCATGACGTCACGCGGAAGCGTAACACCCGATGACTGTTTCATGCATAACTATAAGGTTTACCACTCGCATCACAGCTTTGGTACTGGAACCGCAACCAATTAGTGTGTAACGGGGACAAAATTGAACATTTTCCAAAAATTTTTGCCTATACTACAAGTTACGAGAAAAACTCGCTCCAGCCCTAGATGACAACCCAATGATAAAACCATGGAGCCATGATAAAACTCGGGGCTGGGTAACTCCAGCTAGTGTTCATCCACATTTAACTGGTGTCGTGAAAACGAATCACACACTGCTGAGTGCTGGCAACTGTGATGAAAATTACATTCTTAGTTAAACTAAGTAAACAATGTAATGACACGAAAGGGGACAACAAACCTCTCTTTAAGAGCACATACAATTTTCCAATTAAGCAGAAATGTTGCCGAAATTGTTAGACACGCAGCGAAAAACGATTGTTTTCCAACGATTGTAGCGATGAGGGGCGCCCTCTACCAGTAAGTTGTCAGCAGGGTGACCGTAAGGTCAGAGCCAAATTCTGCTAAATGCACATCAAAAATCTGTCAGAACATGGAGCTATAAAACACTCCATGGTCAGATTTATCCAAAATCTGCCAAAATTCCCAAGAACTACTCGAACTACACTATAAACACGTAAAATCACATGCAGATTGGTAGTATTGCCTTAATTAACATTCAAAATTACATAATAAACAATCTAGTCACATAAAGATGTTGTGAAAGTATTGGAAAATTTTGGGCAAAACGTGGATCCGGCCACGACGAAGTCCGTTTCCCAGTGAACCTCAGAACCTAGACCAGCCAACCTGTCCCATTATGCAAGGCTTTGTTTGAAAGGATTGAATTTTTTTAGATAAAGGTACACTTCTTTGTTCAAATTTGCTGTTTTTCTGTCAAATAACCATTTTTGCAGAATTCTGCCAGAAATCTGCCAAAAAAAATCCATTCTGTCAAATTTTCTGTCAAACTCGTTTTTTAACAAAAATTCTGTCAAAGTTAGCCGAAAATCGGCTAAAACGGTCACCGTGGTTGTCAGTCGATGATAGAGGGCGCCTCAGCGTACTAGACTGTGAATGTCGACATGATTAGATTTTCTGAAAAGTGAAATATCATTTTGTGAACATTTCGATTTTCGATCCATTTTTACTCAGTTTTGAAGACAAACTCCATAGAAATGCAAAAGATATGTTTGGGCGAAGAGGCTCTGTTTCTGTTTCTCATTTTCAGGCGGCTAACTTCGTTTTGTTGGGGGGGGGGGTATTTGGTCAAATACTAAAAAAAAATTAAAATGGACAATTGCGTTTCTCGAAAATTATGCGATCGATCTAAAGAAAAATTGTGAGCAAATGAAATGGAAAAGCAAAGCCATAAGGTCAAAAATTGAAAAGGTAGGAGAGCTAGTAGGCCTATGATGTAAAAACGAATTATAATTGTACTATCCAGTGAAACTAATTGTTTTAGACCCTAAAAAAATTATCATTGATCTACATTACGCCCCCCATGAAATGTTCCAGCCCCCCCCCCCCACACTGAAAAATTCCTGGCTACATCACTGCAGTGTATCCAGCTTTCAGGGGGTAACCGCACATCCGCGCCGATATCCGGGATATCGTTATGACCGAGCTCGTTATAACGGGAGTCGACTGTACACGTTTTTTTCTCCGGACACTTGCCCTCCGTAAAATAAAAAAAAACTGCGGGGGGGGGGGGGGGGGGGGGGTTGTTGTTACAACCCCCAAAGTTAATCAAATAACAGCGCCACCTATTGTGAGACAGTGTTGGAAATCGTCCCGTGAACAGCTCCCCCAATACTCGGATGGTATCCCTCCCCCGCCTTTTTTAATTAGCGGCCGCCCTTCCACTTGTGCAGAAAAATTACAGGAAAAAATGTTGCAACCCAGGCGCCACTTCAGCGGTTGTGTACAAAGTCTGTATGGAGAATCAAGAACATTTTCTAAGTATTTCCTAACAATATTGAAAATGTTTCGCAGTCCCAGATTTATGTCTTATCGTCTTTTTTTGCAATGAATGACCTTCATTGAGATGATATATGAAGAAAAAAATGGCGTAAGGTTGCAACATTTTTTTTCCAAATTACCCAGTTTGCTTTGCCCCCCCCCCCCCCCCCGGATAAAAAAACCCTGGATACGATGCTGGTAGGTCGGGTCTTTATGCACAAATCTCGGCATTGAGTTCCTGGGCGCCGAGAAATACAATCAATAAAATCATCATTATTATGGTTATCATTTTACAGAATTTGGAAAGGCAAATCTCACATACAGTTAGATTTTATTCCAGAATACGTGTTAAACAAATGTATTCCTTTATTTACAAGAATCATCTAAATTGAGATATTATTAATCAAAAGAGAGGTAGTTAAATATTAACAAGTGCAATGTAACAAGAAAGCTATTGCAAAGGTGTGAAAAGCCCCGACAATTATGCGATCGATCTTAAGAAAAATTGTGAGCAAATGAAATGGAAAAGCAAAACCAAAGGTCAAAAATTGAAAAGGTAGGTGAGCTAGTAAATTAATTCCTTTATTTACAAGAATCGTCTACAGTTGTATATTGAGAAATTATTAATCACAATTATTAATCATTAATTACAAAGGTGTGAAAGCCCCGACAACACGAGATTTATTTACAAATGAATTATGGCATGAATTTTAAATCAAAGTTACACGTGAAGTATTTACAGGAATCTTCCCCCAAAAGGCAAGTTATAAACATGATCACAGGTTTGTCTTCTAAACTTAAAGATATTATTTATGAAATGGCATGTATATAACCTCGTGTCTTCACGATCTGAATACTTAATCAAGAACATCACAGTCCAGTCCTAGCAACACGGCAATCAAGCTCAATCGAAACCCGTCACTCTTTAATCTTATTTTCCCAGATAGTAAATGAGTGTATTTTTTTTATGTAAACGATAGTTTTCTTGATCTGTACATTTCCTAGTCTTACCATAGTCTTCTAAAAATATAAAAAAGTATATTCTTTTCTTTTGGTACAACTGTAACTGTTTTTCAGAGACCTAATGTTATCACTTTGTCTGTTGAATTTCAGAACAATACATGTACAAGAGACAATAGCCTACATTAGTATAGAAAAATAACTAGTAAAAATAACCTTTAGAAAGAGCTGCAAATTTCTCTAGAAAAATAGCCGCATTTAATACATGTGTTCCTTTTTGCATGCATTTGTCAATATATCGGTTAGAATAAATTACTTTTTTTCAGTCCCATCATTCTGATACTGCCTTGGACCAAGTCTGAGTATGTGATCAGATAATAAAAAGGTTATACATGTACACAACAAGATGAACTTAGACACATATTTCTTCAACGGTTGTACTTTCAGTCATCCTAGCAGCTAGACTCTTAAACGATAAAGGCACAGACGGCAACGAAGATCATCACAGCAGCCAGACCTACCCGCAGCAAGGTGGTGTCAGCTGTGACCACGCCCCCTTGCTTTGGCTGCTTCATTGGTACCCGCGTCTTGGTGGCGTGGACGACGCTATCCCATGATTCCTCGATGACCTTTTTGGCGCCCTTCCAAGAGTGGGGACCGCGCAGGCGGTAGCTGGCCGGGTAGCATGGTCCAAAGAGTACCTAAGATATGAAGTAAAATAGGCAGGGGATGGTTGAATATATGAAAAGTCATAAATTTATCAGATGAGTGATAAGGCCCTTGTCTCACGCATACAACTGGGAAGTAACAAAAAAAAGCAAATTCCCAGCTTTACTAGACTTTTTTACGTTTTTTTTTTTACTTTTACTGGTATAAGTGTGAAGTGAAACACGAAGAAATCAGCTGATCCAAGGAAAAAAGGTTGCATACTGGTAATTTCATTCTATTCCTGAAATTACATCGTTTTAAAGAAATTGTCTGACCATAGATAAGGTACAAAAGATCCATTTCAATGTAGGATACCTGAATTCTAGTCCTTGTTTAATTCAGTCGGCAAAATAGCACCAAAAATGTTAGGCAAAAGCAGCTTCATGCACTACAATGTCATGGAAACGGTGACGTACCTGGAATGCAAGCCTGGGATTGGTCAGTAGAAGCTCAGTGAATCGTGGCTTTACGCCAATCATCTCTGCAACTTCTTCCTGATAGGGAACAGGTGGGAACTGAATGGGAGAAAAAAAAATATAATTATTTAAATAACTGCCCCCTAATTCACCAAATTAAGTTAGTTTTGTTTTCAATTCTGTTTGCAATCGGTTACACATCTGTGAACGGGTGCAAGCCAGCTAGTCTGGTTCCATGACCTGACATCTCCCCGACATCTGTAACTTGCTCCGTTTTGTTTAATAATAATAATAACGGCAATTTACAACGCGCCGGTATCCGCCATAAATGACGCTCATGGCGCAATACAAAAATTAGATCAAATCAGAAATATGAAGAAGGGTCATGGAACCAGACTACTGCGAACAACACTTTTTCCTTGGTTTTTCCAGCATCTATGAACACAAAATTTTACAGGGTCAGTGTAACAACATTTGCTATAAAATATTAACCCCAAATCCATCAACTTCTGAAAATTACAGCAAAAACAAATGTTGTATACTACCTTTAACAATTGTGAATGTTTTTTTCCCTTCAATTAACTGCTGTAAGTCCACTTGTAAGTTCGTTTTAAAAGCCTAGACTACAGGGTCTAATCTGAAAGCACTAAATGTTGTCATTTTACTTTCTCATTATATTTTCTCATTTTATGCTGTACTTACAAAGATTCTGTGTTTTCCAAAGGTTTGATAGAAGATATCGCGCCTGCGCTTGATGTCGGCCATCATGGTGTCCACATCGGGCAGGGGCACTAGCCCCTTGAAGACCCGGGCAGCCCATCGGGTCTGCAGCTCAAACACGGGGGGCTGCCCCCCTAGCGTCGTCACGCAGCCAATGACGGCCAAGGTATGATGCTTGAGTTTGGGTGGGAAAACGTGCATGTACAGGTCCAAGTCTGCGAAGCTGTCTGGAAAAGGATAGAACAAAAAGGTAAACTTTGTGTAAAAGGTTTTATAAATGTGAAGCAATCAAGATCGTAAAAATAATGTATATCCAAATAAGTGAACGATGTGCTCTGTTGATCAATCATTAAGTTCAAAAGCTAATCTCTTGCAAACTTTTAATTAGATTCATTTTTGTCAGGGTTTGAAGCATGATAACTGAGATGTTATCAAGTTATCACAAGCAATGGCATAGCAGTTGGGATGCAGTTGGAAGGCTTGAGATTGAAAAGCAAAATCGGGACGGAAAAATTGATTAACAGGACGAACGTTCTATTTTGCAACGGGCAAATGTTCACAACTTTCAAAGTCACAACTCTCATAGCTCACAGTCTAGTCCCCAGTCAAGTGACAAGCTTTTTGAGTAAATTATTCCTTTTTCATAGTACATCATCTGTTGCACGTGACCACACTTTTTGCAAATCTGGCACAGAGAGAATTCAGAAGAATGCAATTTTCAGGATTGAAATTCACGACCATGTACCTTGAATTATAGAGCGGTCAATGAAGTCGAACCCGAGCTCGTACCCAGTAGCAAACACGACGGCATCTAGGTTATCAATCTTATAACCATCGACGAACTCGACCCCAGTGCGGGTGAACCGTTTGACCCCTGGTCGGCACTGGACGGCACCGCACATGATGCGGTCGCCTATTTCATCATTTACCATGACCTGCGGAAAATACATTTAGTCTTCACTGTTTAAAGAAAAACAATTTGGGGTCATTTTTTTTATCAGAAAATTAAGATTGCCATATGAACAAAGTGTCCTGTTTGTACAGGGTGAGTGAAAAATCTAAGATATTAAAGCCCAATTAATGAGCTTTCTTTTAGTACAAGAATCATTCAAATCACTCATGTACTTTTCAAGCTACGGAATATTGAACACAAACACCGTTTTAAAGTTCTGTTCACGGATCACCAAAAAGGTAAGTGTTCTTTCAGCAAAACGAAAGCAATTTACATACATCCCTATGTGAAAGCAATTGGGCTTTCACATCTTTAATTTTGAAAGTGGTATATGCAGAATTTCGTTAAATAATTGGTCCTGCCATTCTGGGGTTTTTTTTTTTTAAGACTCACCTTGTATAATTACTAAGAATAACAGAAAAACAGACGTTACTTTTTGTTTACCAAGTTCACATGTATTTTACCTCGCTGTGCAGCAGGCCGGCCTCGGCGCGTAATCCAAGCTTGTCATGGTCGAAGTTGACGCTTGCTTTGGCATTTGCTATTCGCTCTGCAAAATTAAAAAAAAACTCCCGAAACTCAGATTGACATTAATCAACTCGGCTTTCTTTGTTAATTTTCTGGAATGGAACAAAATTAAAAGTAACTGAATGGAAAAAAGTAAACTGTATATGAGTTATCGTTGTAAAGTGTTTTAACAAAAATAGTGCGCTGAATTTTTAAAATTCACATTTTTAAATTCACTCACAGAAATGAACATCATACACTGTTCTAGAAGTAAAAAAAATAATTTTCTTCGCTTTTACATTTAAATTATTTTCACAATCGTAATGACATTTATTAACGTCCGGGTATTTCATGGAAAATTTTCAGGCATAAAAATATTAAAAAATCAGTTTTGTAAATATTTTCACATTTCAGTAAAATACTGCGTGTGATTTTCTTCGGACGTACCCACAATAGGCTTGGGAGCAAGTTGTATGATTCTACGGTTGACCATCATGTCTATGGGAGTACTGTCTTTGGCCATGCGTCTGACGACCCAGCAGCCGTGCCTCATGGTCAGGTGAACCACGCGGGCACGACGGCTCAAATCCGCGGCCGCGTCACCGGCAGAGTGGGAGGCTCCTGCAGGAAAAGACAATGGAGAGAAAATTTATGAGCTTAGATTTGGACACCTTCAAAGAACTGACACCAGGGGTGCGAGTGACCACTGATAAAAACAGCTGAAAAAAGGTGTAAAAAAGCTGAATTTTGGAGATCGCCTATACTTTTGTACACAGCAAGTGAGGGAAAAAGCTGAAAAAAAAGCTGAAATCAGCTTTAAAGCTGAGATTTCAGACCCCTGTGATACACTGCCAAAAAAAAAAAAAACCCGCGGTGAAAACTTTAAGTTTTCACCGCGGGTTTTTTTTTTTTTACACCAATTGTAAAAGAATACAGTGGCGTAAAAATCGTGAATTAAACAAAAGCAGGACCGATGTATCGCTTGCCTTTATAGGTGCACCCCTTGAAAAATTATATTGTTAGACTGTACCCCTGACACTCACCCATCACCAGCACTGTTTTTCCACCGAAAGAGTCAGCATTCCTGAACTCGTTTGTGTGCATCTTCTGCCCCTGGAACTCATCCAGCCCTGGGTATTGAGGGATGTGCGGCTGTTTGTACAAGCCCGAGCAGACGAACACCGCGTCGTAAACTCCCGCCTTTTCCTCGCAGCCCTCTGTGCGCGTGCGCACGCTCCACTGCCCCGTGGTCTCGAAATCAGCCGTCGGTTCAACCCGCAGGACCGAGGTCTTGTACTGAATGTGTTTCTCGAGATCGAAGTGGGCGGCGTAGTCTTGGACGTACTTGAGGACGTGTGGGTAGCGGGGGTAAGGGGGAATATCGTGGGGCATGGGGTAGTCACTGAACGCCATCATGACCTTACTGGAGTTGGTGGTCAGGGAATCGTAGATTGCTGACCCCTGACCTGGTCGGAGATTCTCATCGTACACCCACACGCCACCTATCATGAGAGAAAAAAAAAGGGTGGGGTTGAAGGATGTTCATCACAGAAGGATGAGCTGGGGTGTAACCAGACTGGGACCTTAAGTGTTCAAAACGATGCAAAAGAAGATCAGGCCAACTTTACTCACTCTTCAGCCGGCAAATTTCTCCAAAACTGTCATTGGGCAAGCAAAAGTTCTTCACTATTTCAATTTTTAAAGCAGACTTTTCTTCAATATTTGACAGTGGCTTGCACAAGAGAGGGAAGTCAAGTGATTTCAAAATGAGGCTAAAGACTAGACTTCTTCATGTCCATCCATGGTCCAACTGTTTGACAAGACTGACTTCTTCATTCATTGTCGTTAGTCTTGTGCCTGACTATGGAGAAATGTGTAGAAATAGTGACCTAGTACCGACATCCTAGACATTTCTTTTGGCACAGTCAGCTGACAGTTGATTTATGCAGTACTGAAGCGGTGTTGGACTGGTTGTTTCAGGTGCTAGTCTATTTTCTTGTATTGCATGTTTTCAATACCAATAAGTTTGGGACTCTCAGTCATACACAGTATTGAGAGTCCCAAATTTTCGGACTAGGGTGTAACCTACCCCAATTATAAAGGTACATGTCCAATTAGAAAAAATGTTCACTGGTTTCATGCCTCATAAAATTGAAGCCGAACTGAAAGAAAGGAGCATGGTAAAAGTAAAAGTTTCGATTATACTTACCGAGTTGGCCATATCTCTCGAAACAGTGAGGTTCGATTCCTTCCTCCAGGCAAGCCTTGATGGCCACAAGGCCGCTGATCCCTCCACCAATGATCGCTGCTTTCATCGTGATTCTGAAAAACAAATAATCGATTTGTAGAATAATCAATTTAATCGATTACAGTTGGTGTGGCACCCTGAAAAACAGGGTTTTCAAATTGAACTGATAATTTTCTAGCATCACCTTAGTTATGAGCTTTCCAATGAGACATCGAATGAAAAAAATCGGCCCATGATAAGTACCAAATTAATTAATTTCAACTTTGAAGCCAGCGGGACCTCGTGTATGAAGCCCGGGAAGGGACAGGGTAGAATTTTGGGGGGGGGGGGGGATTTGCTAATTCGTTCGCACGAATTGCTAATTCGTTCGCACGAATTGCTAATTCGTTCGCACGAATTACTAACGCGTTCCCGGATGTACGAGTTAGCAATTCGTTCTTACGAATTAGGAAATCGTGCGAACGAGATAGCAATTCGTGCGAACGAAATAGCAATTCGTGCGAACGTGTTAGCAATTCGTGCGAACGAATTACGAATTCGTGGGAACGAAAGAGGAATTCGTGCGAACGAAATAGGAATACGTGCGAACGAATTAGCAATTCGTGCGAACGAATTAGGAAATCGTGCGAACGAATTAGCAAATTCCCCCCAAAAAATTCCACCCTGTCCCTTCCCGGGCTTCATACTCTTGTGCGCATGTGCTTTTGCGAAAGTGCAGTCTATAAATAATAATCTTAAACCATGGGACCGCAAGTGGTCTTGCGATCCAGTGAGATAAGACGCATATACAGATTCTGATGGAACGTAGGTAGGTAGGTGTCGTGCAGCCAGGCTGGACGAACTGGCTGTACGTATAGGGTAGGCCTACTGTGATGGACGAACTTTAATCGGCCATCCGGGATTCAACACGCCTCTGGAACACAGACAACCGCCGTGTTGTTGGTGTGGTATGGTGGCACGCACGGCAGTCTAGTGCCCTTTCTACTGCGTTTCAGATCAGCGTGGGCCAAAACCGTGGTTTTTACACAGAAATATACGGCTGGGTTACATAATCAAATTCCAAGGAATATAGTGAATTGGGATTACAAAACACATCGTTCCACAAATACGTAATTAACAGGTGAAGGCGCAGTAAAATAATCAGGTGTATCACATCCTGGCGTCGCACGCGCACCAGCCGCGATCATCGCGTAGCTAGGATCGCGTCGGACCAGCTGGCGAATGCAAAATTAACATACATTCTGTACGAGCTGATACGTCACTAACTTATGAATAATCATAGTATTTCGATCAAAACTTTCTGAACCGGAGCGCGCTACTTAAAACCACTGTATCAGGCCTGCACATGCAAACAAGCAAATTTATTTGCTACAGGACATTATAATTCTTTAAATTTCGTTCGGAAAAAGAGAATCGAAATTTTGAAAAACACACACAATTAGCAACTTGAAATGAAATTTCGAAATGAATAAAACTGCTGCAAACTGCTAACTGGCTGGATATTGGCCACTGTGAGAAATATTGTTTAAAGACGGCTTGGATTATACACAAGTTGCACGGCAGCATCAGGAATGTCAGACAAGTCGACCGTTGAGACAACTCGACTCGGGACAAGTCGACCGTTGAGACAACTTGACTCGGGACAACTCGACCGTTGAGACAACTCGACTTAATGGAAATGTATACAGGTGGAGCGGAAACAGTTGCATAAATCTGTGGCAGGACCGGTCCCGGTTGCGGCGCGGGCACACTCGATGCACAGAGGGCGCTCCGATCCGGTGGCCGTCGCGTCGACCCGGCGCGCCGCCCCTGCGAGGACCGGGCCCGGCCCGCGCGGCACGCGGGCACACGTCGATGCTCAGTGAGCATTCGCTCCGGTGGCAGGCGTCGGGCCGCCCGGACCCAGCGCGGCGACGCGGCATACAGTCTACCGACGGGAGGGCTTCCGATGGTCCGCGGGGTCCTCAATGTACATCTACACATACTTGTTGTGTTACTAGTGCATTTATGATGGTCAGTAACGTCCAGGAAATGTATTCAATATAAGAACAATAAGGTAAGTAACATGATGTTAATTGATACGTTTTGATATCAGGCCAAACAAAAATAGTTCTGCTTTCGAGTACATGGCATTTGAAAATTTTCAATTGCAGAGAGAGAGATTAATATGAAAATCTTAACCTTGGAAAAACTCACTGTAGGCCTACCGTAATAATAGAATACCCATAAAACTGTTGTTGAGGATATTTTAATGTGTTTTTAAGGGGTTTTAAATATTCACAGACAAAAGCAAACTTTTTACGTTTCTCCCGACAGTTGTGACGTTCAACCCTGAAAACTGTATGCCTCAAAAACAGGTACGATAAAATCACAATTTAAGGATTTGTTTTTAGAATATTGTTCAGACAGCTAACTGAGTGCTGGATTGATCTAAAACGCATGTGTACAAATCTCTACACATTTCGAATGTTAAATTTTAAATTCTTATTAAATTCTTTACAAATAAACAAAATTTGAGGTATGATGTAACAAGGGCGGATCCAGAACACAATTTTGGGGGGGGCCAAAAAAAAATTTGGTCCCCCCAAAAAGTGGGTCAAACAAATTTCGGCGTGGGGTTCGGGGCCCGTAAGGGCCCCGAAAATTTTTTGGATTCTAGAGCTCTGTGGTGCGATCTGAGGCAATTTTTGACCACTCTAACCAATGTTTTTTGAGGAAAAGATGGTGGTGTACTCATTGCCTGCCTTTATTGCGATGTCACATAAAAAAAAAAAAAATTGGTTTCGTTTTTTTTGGGGGGGGGGCATGGCCCCCTTTGGCCCCCCCCTGGATCCGCCCTTGTGATGTAAAGGGATTTGTTTTAAGAAAACTGTTTAAGACTGCTAACTGAGTGCTTGATAGATCTGAAACACATGTGTACATATCTCTATGGCCCGGCACAAAGGATGTCACCGTGCACGGTACGGCCACGTTGACCGACCGGGGATGGGATAAGACAGTGGGCGCACAGGCCCGGCAAAAACGATGTCACCGTGCACGGTACGGCTACGCTGACCGGGGATAAGTGCGCACACAGGCCCGGCAAAAACGAACGATGTGCACGGACAATCACACTGCGCTATATCGACTCTGTTATATGCAACAAAAGGCAGATATCTAATGCCCTATGTACCTCTTAGTTCAAGGTATTTGAACCCCAGTTTTATGTACTTAGTTTGAATGGGATAGCACCATCATTTTCCTTAACTAAAGCAGCTAAACCTATCATCTCGCCCAGCGGCAACCCCAGCCGTGAATCAACCCGGCCCGAACAACAACAAAAAAAACTCATGTATCATAACTCCCAAACGGCGATCAGCCAAACGGCGATCAGCCACCGTCGAAATCCCCGGTACTACGGTCTCAACGGTCGACTTGTCTCAACGGTCGACTTGTCCCGAGTCGAGTTGTCTCAACGGTCGACTTGTCTGACCCCCAGCATGAGTATGCCCCTAGGTGCTAGCTCAGTGGGCCGGGAGACTTGATACTCAGGTGAACTACAGGTTATTCCACACCATTTACATTCAGTGCAAAAGTCTTACGTGTTTTGTGCACTGTGAAATAAGATATTCGATTTTGTACATGTACTACTCACCTTCAGAAGTCCGTTATTCTGGTTGAAACAAAAACTTGCACCTGGTTCTATCGTCAAACAGCTTCGCGTGTCTTCGTACCGATGAATGTGCCGAGCTGACGGCGGAACGGAGTTACTTATGTCCGCCGGAAATCTTATCGCAGACTTCAAGTGTCAATCACTTCACCAGGGGGCGGGGCCTCGCTGCCAGCCATGACGTAATGGTCTAAGATTGAGCAAGCCAAGGGACAATCTGGAGTTTATAATTAAAGACCGAGCGGTTGATTCTGAATAACGGAACAATGTCCACATTCCGTCTGTATGGAAGCTTATCAGACATCCGGCTTTATTGTATTGTGTCGAGTCGAGTCCGTTATCTAAAGTTAATAATGACACAAACACCTGTCAAGTTAAGTTCCGTGATTTACCCGGTGGTATGGGACGGCACGTGCACCACGTGCACGATTCGCCCTGCAGTGATTTGTGCTTCTGCTTTGAAGTTCTGCGCATGAGTTGTTAAATTTAAACTCTCTCTGTCTCTTTTTTAGCTAAGTTATGCCATCTTTGAGATTTCTTTTAGGGGGGGGGGGGGGGGATAGGGGATATGATCAAGATCCAAAATTGCCCGGCCTTGGAAATTCGAAGGGGGGGGGGGCTGGACACTGAGAGGTCAACCCTTCGGTGGACCCCAAAATAGGAATTATCCTGCTTCACATACAAGTTAATCGGTTTTAATATTCGCATTCCGTCTGTATGGAAGCTTATTTGAACAGGGATCCGGCTTTTTGTGTCGAGTCGAGTCCGTTATCTAAAGTTAATAGAGAGGTTTCGCATGCAAACGGATACGTTTAGTGCGACGGATACGTCATCAGTTATGACGTCATACGCCACTCACTATCCGCTAAACCGACGACATGCATATCTCGCTCGCTACACGTAAGGGGGGGGGGGGAGACTACTCAGAGGAGGGCGCTATACAAAGATGTATAGGAATGCTAAATAGAATCCGCGACTGTGTTCCCCAACGCCGCCTGCACTCTCTCTGTCTCTTTTTTTTTTTAGCTTATATAGAAATACATCTTTTATATTTTTTTAGGGGGGGGATGGAGGATGATCAAGATCCAAAATTGCCCGGCCATGGAAATTCGAAAAAAGGGGGGGGGGGGGGCTGGACACTGAGAGGGCAACCCTTCGGTGGACCCCAAAATGGGAATTATTCGGCTTCACATACAAATTAATCGGTTTTATAATGCATGAAATACAAAACTTTGCCTTGATTAAAATCATGGGCGTATATCCCCCACACTTTTTAAAGTGGGGGATATCATATCCGTGTCTGCCCACACACTTTATTCGTCGCCGAATTTAAATCTATAGCTCAGAAAGTAGCTGATTATACTCAAAACTCGAAAATGATGTTTCAATGAAAATCTTTTGCTACAACAAAAATTGGTTAAAGTGGTCAGAAATTGCCTCAGATTGCGCTACAGAGCGTCTAGAATCAATTTTTTTCCGGGCCCTTAAGCGAGCCCCGACTGAACCCCACGCCGTTAGGGCTTTTACACTTGGCGCTCGAGTTCTGATAAAGGTAGGCCTCCCCCTCCCCCACTTTTGAGAAGCGATTGACGCCCTTGATTAAAATACTTTTATATGCCATTTAAAAAAAAAAATTGACTTGCAAATGTTACACTAATGGTTTTATATGGCACCGTTATGTGTCAGGGATAGGGATTTGGCCTTAATTGTATTGCCTTAATTAAGATTGAAAATTACATAATAAACAATCTAGTCACATAAAGATGTTGTGAAAGTATTGGAAAATTTCAAATGGAAAATTGAAATGGAAATCAAATGGAAAAGCAAAGCCAAAGGTCAAAAATTGAAAAGGTAGGTGAGCTAGTAAATTAATTCCTTTATTTACAAGAATCGTCTACAGTTGTATATTGAGAAATTATTAATCAAAAGAGATGTAGTTAAATATTAACAAGTGCAAATGTAACAAGAATGCTATTACAAAGGTGTGAAAAGCCCCGACAACACGAGATTTATTTACAAATTAATTATGGCATGAATTTTAAATCAAAGTTTCACGTGAAGTATTTACAGGAATCTTCCTCCAAAAGGCAAGTTGTAAAAATGATCACAGGTTTGTCTTCTAAACTTAAAGATATTATTTATGAAATGGCAAGTATATAACTTCGTGTCTTCACGATCTGAACACTTAATTATTATTATTATTCATTATTATTTATTCGGCCAAATTACAAGGTACAACAAGCAATCCACAAAAGTAAACAAAACTGAACAAAAACAATCCAATCCAAGCTGGCCAGGATTGATTAAAGTATAATAAAACACTGTGACTCGAAAGCCTGTCAATTCTAACTTGAATGGTACATGTAACATACAAAAATATATTTAAAAAATAGGTACAAAATTCAATGAAAAATAAGACCGCCTTAAAAATAATACTGAAAAAGATAATTAGATGCAAAAGATTAACAGTTACAACCCTGACCACAGTTTTCTCAAAGGCGAGAATAGCTGGCGTAAAAACCTAACAACTGCAGATTATACAAGACTGGGGAAAAACAGACAAACAAACCAACCCCCCCCCCCCCCCCCAAAAAAACCCCAAACAAACAAACAAACAAACAAACACCCCAACACAACCCTAACAAACCAAGAAATAAAACAAGACAGGATAAGACTAAACAAAATGAAACTAGACAAGTCAAGACAAGACAAGAGACAAGACAAGAGACAAGAGACAAGACAAGACAAGACAAGAGACAAGACAAGACAAGAGACAAGACAAGACAAGACAAGAGACAAGACAAGACAAGACAAGACAAGACAAGACAAGACAAGAGACAAGACAAGACAAGACAAGAGACAAGACAAGACAAGACAAGACAAGACAAGACAAGACAAGACAAAAGACAAGACAAGACAAGACAAGACAAGACAAGACAAGACAAACAAGACAAGACAAGACAAGACAAGACGAAACAAAACAAAACAACAAAAAACAAACAAGACAAGACAAGACAAGACAACAACAACAACACAACAACATAAAAACACGGAACAAAAGATTGATACAGTAAACAAAATAATTTAAAATGAAATAACAATAAATAATAAGCAATACAAACCTGATAGAGAAAAGTAAAAAAAACTTAATCGCAGTCTAACCATAGTCTTCTAAAAATATAAAAAAGTATACTCGTTTCTTTTGGTACAACTGTAACTGTTTTTCAGAGACCTAATGTTATCACTTTGTCTGTTTAATTTCAGAACAATACATGTACAAGAGACAATAGCCTACATTAGTACGGCAAAATAACTAGTAAAAATAACCTTTAGAAAGAGCTGCAAATTTCTCTACCAAAAAAGCCGCATTTAATACATGTGTTCTGCATGCATTTGTCAATATATCGGTTAGAATAAATTACTATTTTTTCCCATCATTCTGATACTGCCTTGGACCAAGTCTGAGTATGTGATCAGATAATAAAAAGGTTATACACAACAAGATGAACTTAGACACATATTCCTTCAACGGTTGTACTTTCAGTCATCCTAGCAGCTAGACTCTTAAACGATAAAGGCACAGACGGCAACGAAGATCATCACAGCAGCCAGACCTACCCGCAGCAAGGTGGTGTCAGCCGTGACCACGCCCCCTTGCTTTGGCTGCTTCATTGGTACCCGCGTCTTGGTGGCGTGGACGACGCTATCCCATGATTCCTCGATGACCTTTTTGGCGCCCTTCCAGGAGTGGGGACCGCGCAGGCGGTAGCTGGCCGGTAGCATGGTCCAAAGAATACCTAAGATATGAAGAAAAATAGGCAGAATAATTAATATTAAGTAAGTCATAGACCATCAGATGAGTGATAAGGCCCTTGTCTCAAGCACGCAACTGGGTAAACCAAAAAAGGAGCAAATTCCCAGCTTTACTAGACTTTTTCTGTTTTGTTTTTTTTACTTTTACTGGTGTAAGTGTGAAGTGAAACGCGAAAAAATCAGCTGATCCAAGGGGGCTGGGGGGGGGGCTTTTTTGTCCAGCCCCCAAAATAAATTCCGTAAAAAAAAATATTGTATTAGCAAAAGAAGGATTGTGATGTACATGTGTACATGCGAATGGTCTCCCCCTAAAGAAATAGTCGTGACAAGGGTGCATTTGTAGTTAATATAGTGTGAATGATTTTAGGATTTTATTGGCGCTCCCCACCTATTGATTTTCGGAGGCCTAAGTGTCTGGAGAAAATAACAGGTCTACATTTCAGCACAGCTCCCTGAGAAAATTCTGTATCCACCCTGCTAGCCCTCCCCCCCCCAAAAAATATTGGTTCTAGAACCGCGCCTGGGCTCCATTGTTTCAAAGCAGCAACCCTATATTAGGAGATCCGGGTGGGAGGAGGGTCATTGACTGTATCAAGCGAAAACCAAACCGAAACTGAGCGGTCTTTGCGCCAGTGCTCTGGCATGCATTGCGCGCGCTCTGGCAACTTGAGCCATGAACTCATCATGACCGCCTGACAACCGATGCAGCCCAGACATCCACTAGCTGCCTCCCAGCGCGCGCTCAAGTTACTTCGCCCCTCTCGACACTCAATGTGTGACCGCGATGTGACCTTTCACAAAGGGGCCTGCGCTCGATTGAGAGCGCAAGCTGTGTTCCTGAAATTATATCGTTTTAAAGAAATTGTCTGACCATAGATAAGGTACAAAAAAATCCATATTAATGTAGGATACCTGAATTCTAGTCCTTGTTTAATTCAGTCGGCAAAATAGCACCAAAAATGTTAGGCAAAAGCAGCTTCATGCACTACAATGTCATGGAAACGGTGACGTACCTGGAATGCAAGCCTGGGATTGGTCAGTAGAAGCTCAGTGAATCGTGGCTTTACTCCAATCATCTCTGCAACTTCTTCCTGATAGGGAACAGGTGGGAACTGAATGGGGGGGGGGGAGAATATAATTATTTAAATAACTGCCCCCTTATTATATTCACCAAATTTAGTTAGTTCGCATTTTGTTTGCAATCGGTTACACATCTGTGAACGGGTGCAAGCCAGCTAGTCTGGTTCCATGACCTGACATTTCCCCGACATCTGTAACTTGCTCCGTTTTGTATAATAATAATAATAACGGCAATTATTAACGCGCCGG